TGAGTTGGGAATAGCCCTCCAGCACCTCTGGGTGTGGTCCAAAACAAAGAAGTAGAGAGCAGACCTGCTTTGCTGAGAGAAATATAAAACAATAGAAAAGAGCAATCATGGTGAATTCCCAAATCCATACCCCTATTGGAGTCAGAAAGATAGGCACCATGTTTCTGCTATAACTGTCAAGAACAATCCTGTGTATTGTCTTTCTTTCTTTTTATTTTGTAAAGGGGGGGTCACACCCGGTGATGTTCAGGGGTTACTCCTGGCTCTGTACTCAAGAATTACTCTTGGTGGTGCTCAGGGGACCATACAGGATGCCAGGGATCTAACCCAGATCAGCCTTGTGCAAGGCAAATACCCTACCCACTGTGCTATCATTCTGGCCCCCATGTGTGTTTTCTTGCCTCTGGGGCCATATAATCTCTCATCCAGAGGTGCTTGAACTCTGGCAGATAGGGATGAAGTTTTGCTTTGTCTTTTAAATTAAAAAAAATTTTTTTCCCATTAGTTTTGGGTCATACCCAACAATGATCAGAGCTTATTCCTGACTCTGCTCAGGGGACCATATACTATACTGGGGACCAAACCCAGGCTGGCCTTAAGCAAGACCTTAACCCCTATAATATCTCTCCAGCCCTGACCAGGATGATGTCCAGAAATTCTAGCAGTTCTGTATAGGTTGTGCCCTTAGATTCTGGGACAAAACCTGTACCATACTCTGTGAGTATCTCCTAACCCTCTGGGCTTAATAGAGGCTGAATATTTAACCATAGGCCACAAAATTGCCATGTTACCTGAGCCTACATTATTAACTGGTTCCCCCATCTGCACTCAGGTGTCACTCCTGGTAAGACTCTAGGTAAGACTAAGTCCTGCAGGCCAGCACAGACAATCTGGGTTGGAGAAATAACCTGTAACTGAAGAGTCACTGGCTCCCCAGGGCTGGGGCCAGAAAAAGACTGGACAAGGGTTCCATCCAGGGAAACAGACTCGGAAAACAGCTTCTCGCTTCAGGAATAGGTTTGAAGGGTTTGAGTTTTCCATCAGGTGAAACCTCTTCCACCTCTTGGAGGAGAGATACCAGATCAGTGTCTGTAACTGTGCACTCTCCGGCTAGGATCTCGGTCAGGAATGTTCCAGCAGACTCTGTTCCATGAGTACCACATAGCAGGGTTTCTCATCCTGTGCTTATGTGGCTCTTACCCAAACTCCCAAACAGTCTTCATTCGGGGCACTGCTCTCTAGTCATAAGGATTGGCTCTTGGAAATATTCCTTGTTTCCCAATATTGCATGGGAGACTGTCCTAAATTTACTTCTTTTTTCCTTTTGACTTTTGGAGTGCCCCCTGGTGGTGTTCAGGACTTAATCCTGACTCCATACCCAGAAATCACTCCTGACAGGGTTTGGGAGCACAGATATGGTGCTGGGGATTTAATCTAAGTAGGCCACATGCAAGGCAAGTGTCCTACCCAATGTCCTATCTCTCTCTCTCTGGCCCCCAACATTTCTCATATGTTACTTTGACTCTTAAAAATGCATCTTGCGGGGCTGGAGCAATAGCACAGAGGGTAGGGTGTTTGTCTTGCATGCAGCCAAACTGGGTTCGATTCCCAGCATCTCATATGGTCTCCCGAGCACCTCCAGGAGTAATTCCTGAGTGCATGAACCAGGAGTAACTCCTGAGCATCGCCAGATGTGACCCAAAAAGGAAAAAAAAATACATCTTGAAGCACACCCCCAAGACTCCCTCGTCCATTGAGGAAAAAGAATGGGGTTTGGCAGGGTCTGCTGAATTAGAAGTACCTATAGGAAATGTCTGCTTCTTCTGCTTAAGAGGAAAGCCCTAAGCTGGTGATAAAGACTAAAGTCATCTCAAAGGGCTGGAGCACATGCTCTGCAAGAGGGAGGCCGAGTCTGATCCCTAGTCCTCTGAGCACCACTGGGAAGAAACCACAAAACACTCATCCCGGAGAAGTTCCCAAGTACTGTGAAGGATCACTTGATCACTTGACTTCCTGTTTATCATGGTTTTGCTCGAGCGGGCGCCAGTAACGGCTCCATTTATCCCTGTCGCATGCTAGTGTAGCCCAATGGCATCTGTTCGTTCTAGGAAAACAAAGAGCCTCAAACCGATCCTTCAGAATCTTGATGAAGAAGCAGATTCATCTGGTAGGTGGGCGACCACACGGTCTTTTGACGTCCCATGGAATCCAGTTGGTAATGGCTCTAGTCCAGCGGTTGTCTCCAAATCTTATTATGTGTCCAGCCCATCTGATTTTTGACGCCTTGGCAAATGAGACAGTGTCCCTGGTCGGAACTCCAAATTCTTTCTCTCATTTGAATGAAACGTGATACTCCAAGCATAGCTCTTTTGATTCCTCTTTGGGAGACCCGAATAGCGAATAGCGTTCTCATCCTGTTTGTGTAGGGCCCAGGTCTCTGAGGCGTATGTTAATGCAGGAAGAACAGTGGAATCAAAGAGATATGCCCAGAGCCGGAGGTTCTTCATTCTCTTAGCTATTTCTTTGACGCTCTTGAAGGCTTTCCAAGCCGCTCTCTTCCTCCTGCGCAACTCAGGTGCCAGGTCATTCATCATGTTGACTTCTTGACCTAGGTACACATAGCTGTTGCATTCGGAGATGGTCATTCCGTTGAGAGCGGATGGAGCCTCAGGCACGAGGCTGTTTCTCATAAACATTGTCTTCGTAAAATTCAGCTGTAGTCCTACCTTTCCACACTCACGGTCAAAGTCGGCCAGCATTTGTGCTGCTTGGCTAATGTTTGGTGTTATTAGAACAATGTCATCAGCAAAGCAGAGGTGGTGTAGTTGCCAACCATCTATCTTCACTCCCATTCCTTCCCATTCCAGTCGTCGCATGATGTTCTCGAGGGTGGCACTGAAGAGTTTCGGTGAAATAGTAGCACCCTGCAAACCCCTCTCTTGATATCAATGATTACTTCTTTATAGAATGGTGAGATCCTGGTAGTGAATCCATAATACAGCTCATGGAGAAGGATGTGCCCTGCAAAAATACTGGGGAGCCATTAATGCCTTTGAGGGAGGTGTCCAATGCAGTGGAGAAATGGAATCAAAGAAGGTCCAATTTAGATTCAGCAACTGGGAGATCACTTGAGACATTGGAACTAAGTTATGCAGTAGCCTGGTAGGGACAGAAATACGAGCAGGGCCAGGGATGTGGCTCAAGTGGTAGAGCTCAGACCTCGGTATGTGGGGCCCTGGGTTTGATCCCTGGTGTCGTGTGGTCTCTATGCACCTATAGGTGTGACCTCCCACAATACAGCAGCAACAAAAACAGAAGCAGGAATCTGAGGAGAGGGAGAGGGGGAGAGAGAGAGAGAGAGAGAGAGAGAGAGAGAGAGAGAGAGAGAGAGAGAGAGAGAGAGAAGAGAACCAGGGTAGGGGTGGGAGGTGGGGTAAGTACTTTGTCTTATATGCAACCAACCCCAATTTGATCCCTGGTACCACGTATGGTTCCTGGAGCATCATCAAGAGTGATCCCTGAACACTACTGAGTATGTCCCCAAACAAACAAATAATAAGAGGTAGAGTGAATCATTTGCTTTCAGAAAACTCTGAATACTCAAGTATCCCTGCCTATTACTGTTGCCTTCATCATTTTCTGTTGTTTGGGGACCATACCCTGTGATGCTCAGAGGCAATTCTAACCAGGAAGTCTCTGGCAAGGCAAACACCTTAGCTCCTACACTATCACCCTGGCCCCGGTGGGGAGTGCACATGCTGCACATGGGAGCTCTGGGTTCCAGCCCCAACACCACAGTCCCCTGAGTACCACCAGGAGCAGTGCCGTGATTCTCAGCACCAACCCAGAAGTAACTCCTGAGTGACTCATAAAAAAAAAGGGAAAAAATTGCTATAGTATTATATCACAGTAATCTCCAGATTCTGGGTTTGCAAACTAGTGTACTTTTTACTTGTTTTAAGCTGATAAAGGTACACCCAGCAGTGCTCAGGGATCACTCCTGGTGGGCTTGGGGGACCTTATGGGGTGCTGGGGACTGAAGTCAGATCAGCTCCATGCAAGACAAGTGCCTTATCTGCTGTATTGTCTCTCTGGTCCTGAAATTTATTTATTTTTTAAACGGCAATGCTATCACTAGCCGCACTGGCATAAACGGATGGGCAGAGCATCCAGCATCCAGCATCCTTCCTTGAGCTCTCCAGCAGGCGGGGCCTTTCCACTTCCTAAGGCTTTCTCGAGTTTCTTTGTTGGCTTCATTTACGTATTGGCTCATTCTCTCTCCTCAAAGGTTCAGATGCTTTGTTTATTTGCTTTTTTGCCACACCCAGCTGTGCTCAGTGCTACTCCACTCTGCGCTCAGCGATCACTCCTGGCAGGCTCTGGGGGAACCCTGTGGGAGGTGCTGAATTGAGAATCCAGTGCAAGAAAGGCGCAGGTCCTAGCCACGACATTATCACTCTGGCCTCAAAGGTTTAGTTAGTGAACAAAACATTTATTCTCTGCATTTTTTAAAAGCCATCTCACCTTTATGTACAAAGCACCTTCCATCACTGACCTCTCACAACGCCTGCAAGAAATTACTCGGCTGCACGGGCAGCGGTGAAGGACGCCCGCCCCCTGCCGGCAGCCCGCCTGCCGGGGTGCGCGTTAAGGCTGCCCCGGCTCCGACCCTTGGAGGCGCTCCTGAGCCTACCTGGAAAGCGTGTGTCCGCGCAAGGCCTTCTGGGACCAGGCCTGCGCGCAGAACTACAACTCCCGACGGGCACCGCGCGGCGGCGCAGCGGGTCCTGGCGGGTGCCGGCGGCTCGCGCGTGCGGGCGGGTTGGGGGGCGCGGTCCGCCGCGGGTCGGTGCCCCCCGAGGCCTGGGGGCCGTGGGGAGGAGGGGAGCGTGAGCACTGTCCGCCTGGGTGCACGAGCGGTCCCGTTGCGGTAGCGTCCTCGCCGTGACGAATCTGCGTCTGCCGAAGGGAGGCTCGGTGCTGCGGCGGCCACGTGGGGCGCGTGGCCACTGCCGGGCGGGCGCGGGGGACGCGCGGGGCCGGGCAGCCGCGGTCATGGCGGCCGGAGGCGCCGGCGCCGCGCGCTCGGCGCCGGAGCCCGTGCCCGAGGCGCCGCTGCAGTACAGCGTGCTCCTGCAGCACCTGGTGGGCGACCAGCGGCAGCCGCGGCTGCTGGAGCCCGGCCGCCTGGGCGGCATCCCCAGCCCGGTCAAGAGCGAGGAGCAGAAGATGGTGGAGAGGGCCATGGAGAGCTGCGCCTTCAAGGCCGCGCTGGCCTGTGTGGGAGGTGAGGCGGGGCCCGCGCTGCCCGCGCCCTCCTGCACGCGCTCGCGCCCGGCCCGCGCCCCCGGGACCGCCCGGCGCGTGCGGGGCACGCGGGGGTGCTCCGTGCGGTCACGCCCCGTGTCACCTGGAAGGGAGCGTTTTCCGAGCCAAGGGGGTTCCGACACGGGCCTGGGCCCGGAGGTGGCGGGGTCCCGGGAAGGACAGGGGTCCCAGGGCGTGGGGAGCCAGGCTGGGTTCCAGAGGGGTCCTCGCGGTGTCCCCTATGGAAGTGACACAGGCCGCAGAGTCCGGTGCGAGTAAGCGCGGCTGCAGGGCAAGACGGGGAGACCCGGCCCCTGGGATTTGGAGGGAGCCCCAAGGAGCCAGGGAGGACGGCAGGCCCCCTGGTTTCAGTGATCATTTTGACCTTGGGGTGATGGGAGGACCCTTGGACGGAAGTGCCCACAGGGCAGGCCTTGCCATTACCTTTGCCATCTGGGGGATGGCCATCACTTGCCGGGGTCTCTTCAGCCACAGAAAGGGGATTGGGGTGCCTGCCCCCAGCCTTATGGTAGAGTAAGTGAGGCCCACCTCCATCTTTGGGAACTGTCTGGGGCCCTTGTAAGTGACTGTCATCAACTCGTCTTCCTAGAGGCCACCCTCGGGACAAATGGAGGGTCAGAGGAGGTGGGGGGGGGGGGACGAGCAGCAGGTTCCAGTGATACCGGAAGTGAAGGGAGGGCCAAATCCAAAAGGAACAAGGAACTCAGCCTGCCCATCTGTGAAAGTAGGCGGGGTGGGGTGTATGTGTTGCAGTGGGGAGAGGGCTTCCCTTTGCCCAAGAGTGGCTATAGGAACACGACCCCACAGCAGCAAGTCAGAAAACCAATGCAAGACATCTTTCTTCCTCTGTTTGGTTTTAGGATTTGTCTTGGGAGGTGCATTTGGGGTGTTCACTGCCGGCATTGATACCAACGTGGGCTTTGACCCCAAGGACCCTTACCGGACGCCAACAGCAAAGGAAGTCCTTAAAGACATGGGACAGAGAGGCGTGTCCTACGCCAAGAATTTCGCCATCGTGGGGGCCATGTTCTCTTGCACTGAGTGTTTGGTAGAATCTGTAAGTGTCTCTGTCCTTCTGGGGGGGACTGGGGGCCGGGAGCACTCCTACATAACCTTGTGGGTGTTTGGCACCACTCCTGGGGAGACTTCATCGAGTTAGGCTGGATGGCTCAGTGCTTAGGCCCAGCAGTGCAAAGACACTCAAGCCCAGCCTGTTGAGGACCCCAGGGTCACACCCAGCAGTACTTGTCCTCCAAGGCAGTGGAGGACACCCTGCAGTGCTCAGTGTGCCCGTTAGACATATGCTCCAACTCTAAAAGCTGTCTCCTAAGCCCCCAAAATGCTCTTTTGACAGGGGTTGGGGGCCAAGGAGATCACGGTAACTAAGGCTATGTCCCGTTCTGTATTGGGGGGTGGGGCGGCACTACCCAGTGGTGCTCAGAGGGCCACGCAGTGCTGAGAATCAAACCTGGTCTTCCTGCTCACAAACCGTGTGCTCATGTCAACCTGTTGAGTGCTCTCTCCAGCCCTAAGAAATACCCTTTTTTGTTTATTTGGTTTTTGGGCCACACCCGGCAATGCTCAGGGATTACCTCTGACAGTGCTCAGGGGAACCATATATGGTACTGGGGTTTGATTGAACCTGGGTTGAACAGGTGCAAGGCAAGTGCCCCACCAACTGTACTAGTGCTTTGTTCCCCAAGAAACACTCCTAATTTATCAGAAAAACTCCTAAGATCAGAAAGGTCCAATACTTGTTAGATTGAATATCTGCTAAGTGGTCCCTAATTCTAACTTTTTGTTTTTATGAATTGAGCTTGCACTGTTTTTCACTTTTTCTCCATTGGATTTCTACATTGTAATTGAGCTTGCACTGTTTTTCACTTTTTCTACATTGGGAATTGACTAATGATTCTACTTTAACTTTTTAAGTTTTGGTTTGTTTTTTTACAGCCATACCTGGCTGTGCTCAGCGCTTGTTTCTGGGTCTGAACTCAAGAATCACCCCTGGCAGGGCCCGAGTGACCGTATTTGGTGTTCAGGATAGAGCCCAGGTTGCTACCTGAACGGCAGGCACCTTCCCCGCTGTACGGTCTTTCCTGCCCCTGACTAATGGTTTTAAGCAAAAGGTTCATTGGGGAACCCTCGAGGAGACCGTTGAGTATTTCTCAAAGGCTGCACTTGGCTTCTGTTCTCTGCTACCAGCTGCCAGAAGCATGTAGGAACATACTCCAATTGTCGGAACTATGCTTTGAGATAAAGGTTAGATTTCAGTTGTGGGACAGAGTTCGCCAGCTAGATGCCCCTTTACTCCCACTCGCCATTTTGTCCAGCTTGTTTCTTTGGCTCTGAACCTCACTTTTGCACCCACAGTATCGGGGGAAGTCGGACTGGAAGAACAGTGTCATTAGTGGCTGCATCACTGGCGGGGCCATTGGTTTTAGAGGTCAGTAAACAGCTCCCCTGGTTTCCTTGTGGCCTTGGACAGTGTATCCAAGTGGACTGTTCCAGATAGAGGGGCGTGCCCCGGGATAGCCCAAGACAGATGTGGGACAGCCCAAGACAGATGTCAACATTTGTTGTTTTTGGAGGAGGCTAGAGCGGTAGTACAATGGGTAGGGCGTTTGCCTTGCACACAGCTGATTAGGTTCAATTCCTGGCATCCCATATGATCCTCCGAGCATTGCTGGATGTGACTCAACGAGCAAAAAAAAAACCTATTTTTTTCTTTTTTGGACAAATTGGTCACATTTGCCATTTGCTTCTGTGTGAACTCAGAAACTCTTGCTATCTAAAAGAGTGTTTCTCCTCCTTGGCACTTTGACATTTTTGGACCAGCTATATCTTTTCCTGCTGGGGTAAGGGTGGCTGAGAGGGTGTCCTGTGCATTGCAGGATGTTCACTAGCACCCTTGGCCTCCACCTACTGGGTGTTAGAAGCACCTTTCAGTTGTGACAATAGCTGAAGATGTGGCCAAGTATGTACATGTGACATAAAGACACGAGGGGTAGAGAGTGGGGTGGAGCTGTGTCCCTGTCGCCCAGAAGCCCATGTGGCAGTCACTACTGAACGCAGCTCCACACATTTCAAGCAGGCATTTTTCTTGGGACTGGGGATGTAGCTTGGTAGGAACCTGTTTGCCTGTGTGCAGGATATCAGGCTTCCATCCCCAGCACCCCTGCACCCTAGGATATTTCTAATTGTCTTAATTTTGTATCATTTTCTTGCCACATTTTGCATGTAAGTTATCACAGAGTATCTCTTTGCACTGCCCTAGGATATTTCTAATTGTCTAATTTTGTATCATTTTCTTCCCACATTTTGCATAGGTTATCACAGTATCTTTTTGCACTTGAAGGGTATTAGCCTCTAAGGTAGAACTGTAGAAAGCCAAATAGAGGTGTTCAGGAGATGATGGGTGATCACCTGCAAGCAGTGACCATGTCCCTGTCTCCTGCTGTGGGGACACCCAGCAGGATGGGGGCTGTCAATGGTTGGCTTTCCCAACGGGGCAGCCTTGCAGGGCCACTCTGCTGGACTCTCACTTTTCCAAAGCAGAATGTCTGCTTCCACATTTTCGAAGAGGCAGGAAGATTTTGTGGTCACTAAGAGCCACTTCTGGGGCCTGGAGAAACAGTATAGCGGGTAGGGTGTCTGCATGCGGTACCTTGCATGAAGCTGATCGGGTTCGATCCCCGGCATCCCATCTTGTCCACTGAGCACCTCCAGGAATAAGTCCTGAGCTCAGAGCCAGGAGTAACCCCTGAACATAACCGGGTGTGACCCAAAAACCAATAAATAAAAGCTGCTTCTGAAGCCGGGCTGTGGCTGAGCAGTAGAGCACTTGCCTTGTGTGTTTGAGGCCCTGGGTCCCATCCCTGGCTCCGTCAAAGAATAACAACACCCCGGCTCTTGCTGACCGGCAGTCGTTTGTGGTTTATAGAGTAACTTCTCCTTTGGTCTTCCCGTTGCACAGCTTTTGCCGGGACCTCTTTGAAACGCTCAGTTTCCTCTGAGGCGGCTTTGATCACCTTCCCAGGAATTCATGCCACAAACAAATCAGGCTAACAGACCATATGCTTCCCTTTGGTTTCAAAAGCCCTTTCTCCTAACTCGTTCCCCTGCTGTGAAGGAGGCACTCTTTTCTCTTTCTTTTCTTTTCTTTTCTTTTTCTTTCTTTCTCTTCTTCCTTTCCCTCCCTCCCTCCCTCCCTCTCTCTCTTTCTTTCATGGGGGGAGGGGTGGTGGTGGTGGTGAAGTATCCACGGCCAGCAACGTTCAGGAGTTACTCCTGGCAGTGCTCAGGTGTAACATATGGGATGCCAGGGATCAAGCCCAGGCCAGCCATGTGCAAGGCAAGCGCGCTACCCACTGTCCTATCGCTGCGGTCCCAGAGGGAGGAACTGGTCCTGAGACTGGAGATAGTGATTCTTTGGGATGAGATGAGGTCAGATGGCTGTCCCTTAGAGAAAGCAGGCTGGGTGCTGACCTGCAGTGAAGTCTTAGCGACCTTAGATAGACTTCATGCCCGCGCTAGGTTCTTCGCATCTTTTCCTGGGCAGGAAGCGTGACCAGCATCTGACAGCGCTGTCACTTCCTCTTTCTGCTTTACAGCTGGCCTCAAGGCGGGTGTCATCGGCTGTGGCGGTTTCTCTGCTTTCTCTGCTGCCATCGATTATTACCTCCGGTGAGAGTCATTCTCCCCAAGAAGACCCCCTGCTCAGACCCTGGAGCTGGAGTGTGGATGTGGGGGGCAGTTTCTGCACCACTCCTGTACTCCTTTGGGTTCTGTGGACATTTCTTTCTGGTGTTGGTGTGGTGAGGGGGTCCTCCAGCCTCGGAGAACCCCCTTCTCTTTGTGCCTTGGCGGCGGGGTGGGTCTGGAGGGGGCTCTCCCACTTCCCTGAAGGAACTGAGCTCCGCAGCTGGCCACGGGTGGGAACAGGTGACGTTGCTTCCACCTGGCAGCTCTGTCGTTGGCCCTCCCATGTGGTAGGGCAGGTGAGTGAAGTAAATGATGTGGGCCAGCCAGAATGTTACTTGTGTTTTTTCCTCGTCAGATGCAAATGCACACACACACACTTACCTTTAGGTTTAAATTTGAGGGGGGGTGATATGACACAGGGGGGGTCAGCCTCCCAAGTGCTCAGAGGTTCTCGGGCCATTCAGGCAGTACTTTGCCCACTGGCTGGAGTGTTGAGCGCCAGTGCCACCTGGGCCACCTCCGCCGTGCTGGGGATTGATTGATCTTGGGTCCCTGACCACTCTCGCTCCCCAGCCGAAGGTGGGTTTGTTTTCCAACTTTGCAGTTCCCAAATGTGGACGGGGCTGAGGAAGGAGCGCACGCTCTGGAGCAGTGAGGGGCTTTAGGTGCTCTCACATCCTGTGTATCCACCCGAGATGGCCGCGTCGGCCAGTGCTCCCTGCACCCGCTCTTCCCAGCAGCCCAGCCCAAACCTGCCTTAGGCCACACTGGAATTCCTGTGTCAGGTTCTTCCAGATCCCCCCCACCCATGGTGGTTCATGTTCTGACCACTGGCTACTGTGGTCATTCTGGTGACTCCACCCAGCAGTGCCTGGGATGGCCCCCGCGCCTCACATGTGGGGGCACAGACCCCTTGGGTCTGATGTGACCGAGCGGCAGTGCACCACCACCTAGCCTCAGATTTTATTGTTGATCATATTAGGGTTTGGGATTTTTATTTTAGGCCACGTCCAGTGATGCTGGTCAGTGTGTGTGGTGGGGGCCAAAACTGAGGCCCCAGCAGGTGAGGGGGCACCCTCCTACCTTCCACGTCTTTTGACATGACCTAGTGGCCTTTTTCTGAGCCTTAGCTGCTCAGCCTAATTGTGTGCCAAAGGCCAAAAACCAGGTCCCAAACCTTAGACGGTCGGGCTCTGCCGAGGGTGTCTGCCATGGGTGCTTTGGAGGTATGATGAAGTGGATAAACAGGCGTTTGCTCCTGCTGGGCAGATGCCCGCCGGTGGAATGCCCCTCCCTCCGTCCCTGTGCTTGCCTTCTCCTCTGCCCACTCCATTGAGAATGCACATACCGCGTGCACGTCTGGGCGTGCGTTACAGTGGCAGGCCAGCTGGCAAGACCTTTCTCGGCCCTGTGGGATGAACAATAGCGAGTGCACAGTGCCCATTCCAGCATACCCGACTTTGCACTGCCCAGCAGGCAAGGGCACCTCTAATCTGAGAACAAGTGGGGTAGCATTTGCCTTCAGTTGCTGACATGGGGGCAGCTGCTCCCGTGGGTCCCCGGCCACTTCTCCCCACCAGCCCCGCGCAGAGTGGCCGCTCACTGCTGCTTCGGAAAAGATGCGGCCGAGGCTGTCAGTAGTTGTCCGTTCAACAAGCCAAGCATTGTCCATGCTGACTATTCAATCAAGGAGAGATGAATCGTTTCCTGTTTTAGATGGCTAAAGGAGTTAGTATGAGCTCATAAACCAAACACCAATTTTCAAAGACATCTGTTCTTGATCTCCAGAATAAACACTGGCTTAGGCTGGTGGGAGCCGCATTAACCCCACCGGCTCTCCTGAGGGAGGGCGAGTCTTCCAGGGTAGTGCTCTCAGCCCGGGGCATGGCCCCTGTGGCGCCCCCAGAATGTCCCAAGGGCGCCACAGGTGAAAAATCGCATCAATGGGGGGACCAACAGTAGGATGGGGAGGCACAGGAAGGAACAAGGTTGGAGGGGACCATGGCCGGGAAAAGGTTGAGAACTGCTGGTCTATGGAATCAGCTTTTCGATGAGCACTCGAAGTCAAAGAACAGCTCCAGGGGTTGGAGAGAGTACAACGGGCAAGGCACTTGCCTTGCATGTGGCCAACCCTGGCTGGCTCCCTGTGTATTTCCCTGAGCAAGCCCCGCCAGGAGTGATTCCTGGGCACAGAGCCAGGAGCAAGCCCTGAACACTGCAGGGTGTAGTCCCCCCAAAGCAAAACAAAAAGAGCAGCTCCAAAGCATCGCCATTTCCCAGGGAATATGGTGAGAAGTTGACATAAAATAAGCTGACATGTGGTTCCCCAAGCTGGTCAGGAGTGACCGCTGAGTGCAGAGCAAGGACTAAGCCCTGGGCACCATTGGGTGGCCTCAACGAAAGCAAATGGACAAATGCTGACATGAAATGCTTGAACAGGTACCACCTGCCATCCCACAAGGCAGAGATGGGCCCAGGGAAGTGGCTGGAGGCTGTCCTGTGTGAAGGACATGGGGAGGATCTGGCTTCACCTCCCCCCCAACTGCCGGTCCCAGCAGGGGGAGAAACGTGAGGGAGATGACTAGGTAAGTAGAGCCCTGGGAACATCTGCGCGCAGCTGGAAGTTAAATATTTAGGTTGGTGCTCGTCCCTGAACTACTGAGAACATGGACGGCCACACCGCAGGGCTGAGTTGTGTGCAAATGTTGGGGCTTTGCATGTTTTTTATTAACATTTTCTTCTCACTTGGTTTACATCAATTTATAATAATCTACATAAGTTGAAACAGAACATAGACAAAAAATATATCCTTACCAACTTATTAAAGTCAGATATTAACGAAGGGTCTCATCCTGCCTGTACCAGCGAAACCCAACTGCCCTCAGCCACTGCCCACGCCAAGGGGCATACAGTGGGGAGGGGGCGGGGGTCCCAGTGGCACAGACGTCTCACTGGACAGTGCTGAGGGTGGCATAGCCTCTACCAGGAGGCCCGATGAGAAGTTCCCCGCCACACAGCACCGTCCAGATCTGGGAGCCCCCATTCCTGCCTGGGCACCTCAGGAGTGGGGCTGACCAATGAGGAGCCTTTTACATGTCCGGCCCTCCCTGCCATCCTGCTCCCAGCCGGCCCTGGCATGGGAGAAGCAGGAGGCCTGGGCCGAGCTGCAGTGCTGATGGGCCCAGTCCATTCCCAGCAATGGCTTTGGAAGCCAGAACCTTCTGGCCACATGCCCACTCCCGACTGCCCACGGTGCCACCTCTGGACACCCTGAGGCACTTTCCTCCTGTGTACAGGCTGGACCAAGGTGAGGCAACGGGTGAAGGAGCCCGAAAGGCCCTGGTCGCTCCCCCTTCCAGTCGAGTTCTGGGCACTGGCTGCAGTGACGTTCGCCCATCCCAAGGGTCTTCTCTGCCACAGAAGAGGCAGGAAGTGGGTGTCCAGGATGGGGAGTGTCTGTCCTCACAGGCTGCAGGTGCTGTGTGGGCGGGGGAGGGGGGTGTAGAGGGGGCGCTGGGCACTGCCCACTGAGCCGCCTTTCCAGTGCCAAGCCACAGGCTTCCAGGCTGGGAATGGGCCCCCCACTCCCCCACTCTGCAGTGTTCACTGTGAGGGGCTGCCTACAGAGCCCAGTCCCAAGAGAGGTGCCCATAACCCCCCAACTCCCCCCACTTCCTGGAACATCCCAGCATCCCCCGCAGGCTGGCACCGGAAGCCAGAGCAGAGGCAGCTCCGTGGTGACTGGCCCCTGCTTGCTGCCCGGGCCCTGAGCATGCGTGGCAGTGGGGGCTGTGGACGGTGTGTGGAGGGTCTAAGGCAATGGTGCCGCCAGGCCCACAAGGTGCCAGGAGAGGACAGAGCCGGCCAATGGCAGGCGCCCCAGTAAAGCCTGCCCCACTCCTTCCGAGTCCCCAATTCAGACACCCCGTGCTCCATGGCACCCCTCGAATGCCCTTCACCTGTGAGCACCCAACTCCCATCTCCCCCACTCTTCCCGACCCTCCGGTTAGCTTGGTAGGTCACTTGTGAGGAAGCAGAACACCAGGGGGAAAAAGAACCGCAAAGCAGTAGAAGAAACAGTCAAAAGATGCCTCGCTGGTTGGCAGGAGACTGCAGATGCACCCCAGGAAGGGAGATTGTCCGATGGGAACCCCCGCTGGGGGGACCCTTGCTCTGTGCTGGGCGGAGGGGGGTGAGTGTGAGTCTCCTATCCAACATCAGCACAGCAGCAAGGCAAAGTGGGTGTGTGCCCGTGGTGGGGTGAGTGGAGGGCTGGGGGCAGCGCCGCTGCCCTCCGAGCGCTGAGCACAGACCAAGGCTGCATGCAGGGGCAGCGCGGGGGGCTGCAGGGCCACCAGGACACGACACCCTGGGAGAGGGGCCAAGAACGAAGCTGGCCACTGTGACTGCACCAATTCAAGGCGCTGGACTAGACTCCGGAGGAAAGAAAGTGGAGGAGGAAAAGGAAGAACCACGTGGGCCAGCTGCGTGCCCACAGCGGGTTGGTCACTACCTTTTCTGGTGAGAAAGAGACACGAGACAATGGTCCCAAAGGGCATGGAACAGCGGGAGACGACGGGAGGGACAGAGGCAGGAGCCGGGGGGCGGCCAGGCGTCGGGGCTGGGGCGGCTGCTCTGTACAAGTGGCACAAAAGATGCACGAGTTCCAGTTCTTGGAAGCCTGCGTCCTCGGAGTCTGGAGTGCTGGGCTGGGGAGTGATCGCGCGTCGTGACCGAGCCTGTGTTGGTCCCTGGCTGGGGTGGCTGCAGCCCCCCGGGCTACACGTCGGTGGAGAAGTACAGTGTGTTCCGCTTCAGTTCCGCGAAGGAAATGGGGGGGTGCTGCAGGTAGTAGAGGAGGACCTGGACCTGTGGAGGGACAGGGAACTGAGAAGGGGTCCTGGTCTTTGCAGGATTCCTTGATCCCACCTGTGGAGAGGTCCTGGAAAGTCATGTCATGGTCACTGGCGGCAGCAGGGGGCGCTGTAGGATGGGGGCAGCTCAGCTCTCATGGCACATAGAATTTGGCTTTGGGGCTGGTACCTGACCAAGGTCTGGTAGGAAACCCAGGGGAGTTCCCAGCTGTCCGCCCCAGTGAGACCCTCCCGGGTCCCCCTCTCTCCCCCAGACAAGGCCGCAGCTATTTCCTGCACCCTTGGACTGTCCTGTAGGCGCTCCTGGGCCACACTGGTCTGGGCTCAGACTTTTGCAGGCTCGGTTTGGGTCACTCCAGGTGGGGCTCCGGGCTCCCTATGGGGTGCCGGGGATGGGACTGTCCTCCCACTCTGCTTCAGCTCAGACTTCTGGTTTGGGCCTGGAAGGG